GGCAAGGAGGACCAATCTCGGATTACATCTGTCTCTTCAGTAGGGCAAGGCATACTTTGCATGGAGAGAGTGCAATACATGGTGGATTGTATGAGATTCATTCTTATATGTTTGATGTGTGTGTGGAGTTTAGGACAGGAGTTGGTGGATATAAAGGGCAGACCCAGTGCCGGAGGCTCCTACATGAGTGGGGTCTGGGGAAGGAAAAAACCGAGGCAAGCCTTCCCTCGCAAATCTGCGGAGAGGCTGCTTCAAACCCACGACCTGGTGACTCAGTGAGACAGTTGGTGGATATATGTAGCTAAATATATGATGAGTGAGCATTGGATATTTTTAGCGTATGTTTATGAAGCTTGTGTGGAAACATGGTGCTCTACCGCGGTAAATGAACGCTCTATGATGTGTTTCTATCTTAATGCTCATTTGCATTCAGTTTTCTCCAAGAAAAGAACCTCGACCGGTTCGGTTTTGGCATAAATATATTGTAGATAGAATGTGGTTTCATTGTTTTTATAATTAAATACATTTATAATTATAAATAGTACATATCAATTATATCTATGTAATCCCGTGGTATATCAAGGATTTCCTATTTTATTAGGTAGTGATCAAAAATGGCTTATGCAAGTACGAGAGAAAAACCATGGCTAATACTCCCTCCAGTCTTGTTTATAAGGCGTAGTCTATCATTGCGGTCTCTCAAATTACACTTTCACCATTTATTTTTTTTGTATTATGTTTTTTATTATTACAAACTTATGGCCATTAGATAGTATAGTTGATTATAAATCTAACCGTATCAAGTTTGCATTACAATAGTTAAAAATATTGGTCAAAGATTGTGAAGTTTGAATCTTAACATGCATGTGCCTTACAAATTAAACAGGACTGGAGGGAGTAGTTTACAATATTTTTGGCTTGCATTGGTAACCTGTGTAGTTTTGTTTGATGCCATGTTTATCTTCAAAACTTTGTGTTGAGTTACTATGTTGATGTGTTCAAATTATCAATTATGTGATCTAAAGCTTTAGTCTCCAGTGTGGTAATCTCAAACCTGTGATTGTTGTTAAGAGTCTTCACCATGAGGTCATTATCTAAGCTTTAGTTAAGAAGTTGTCCAGCCCCAGCCATGAGGACATAGTAAACATGTTGTAGCCTTGCCTTGATGAAGATGGCCTAGGTTATTGGAGCCTGTGTGTTGTATGTGGATAAAGACTACAGGCCAGGTCATCGTACAGCTGGACCATCTGGAGATAGCATTGCATCTATATAGCAGCATGGTCAGTGTAGTAGCATCTTCACATGTGTAGCTTAGAGTTGCTTTATGTGGAGGCTTGACTGCATATCTTCTTATTTTGTAGAACCACACACTACCGCCTGTAAGATCCTAATGGCTAAAGAGGGGTGAATGTCCTATTAAAAATTCTACAACAACACTTGAGCCAAGGTGTTAGACAAATAAACGACGAAGCGAGTGTTGCGCTAGCCTATTCAAAATGCAAGTCTCCTATCCACAATTCTAGTTGCTATGATCTCTAATTCACACAAGAGGCTAAGTTACTACTCTCTAAGTTAGTGAACTCTCAAAGACTAGATAAAGAGCCTCACTAACCACTAACAAGACACAAGCTAGCTCTTAAAACTAGTTACACTAAAGAGCTTGGCTACACTAGAAAAGTAAATACAAGAGAGGTAGTGATGTTTATACCGTCGTGGTAAGAGATAGACAATCAATCACAATAGAATCCCGGAGACAAAGATAGCACAATGATTTATCCCTGAGGTTCACTTGTTTGTCGGCAAGCTACGTCCTCGTTGTAGCGGTTCACCCACTTGGAGGTTCACGCGCTAATAGGCATCACACGTCTAACCCGCAATCGGATGCCGCACAACCAACACAAGATGGAGATCCACAAGCTACAAGCAATCCACTAGAGTATCTTTTGGCTCTCCGCCAAGAAAAGATTAAGAACCCCTCACTATCACCACGATCGGAGCCGGAGACAATCACCACCCTCCACTCGACGATCCTTGTTGTACCAAGCCGTCTAGGTGACGGCAACCACCAAGAGAAACAAGCGAATCCCACAGCAAAACATAATCACCAAGTGCCTCTAGATGCAATCACTCAAAGCAATGCACTTGGATGCTCTTCAATCTCACCAAATGATGAATCAATCAAGTAGGATAAGTGAGAGAGAATTGGCTTAACTCACTAGAGTGTATTCTCAATAGAAATGGCCAAGAGAGTGAGCCATGGTCGGCTAACCCCTTTTTATAGAGCCCCCAACCGAATAGAGCCGTTGGGCTCAAGAGGTAGCTGACAGCGTGGTGACCGGACGCGCTGGTTGGGGCAACCGGACACACTCAAGCCAGTGTTCGGTCCACTGGATGCTGCCATGCGTCCCCCTCTTCAACCTCCACCGCTGATCTCCAACGGTCAAACGAACTCGCGACAACGGCTAAGAAGACGTCCGGATGCACCAGCACACGACCTGACGCACCCACACCGTGTCCGATCGCGCTCGCGCCCGCGCCACTAAGCCAGCGACCTGACGCACCCAAAGACTGACCGGACGCTCACAAACGTGGAGTCCGGTCACTTCCAGAGAGGAAACAGAGCCGCACTTTCTCGATCGGACGCGTCAGATAAATAGCGACCAAACGCACGGCAGCGTCTGATCCTCTCAGCGCGCCAAAAATGCTTACATCAGCGTACGTCACCTCTGACCAGACGCAGGGCCTATGCGTCCGGTCCTCTTCTGCCTCCAGTGTCCGGTCAATGACCGACGCCACGCCCTTCTCAGCTTCGATGACCAGACTCACCAAGCCAGCGTTCGGTCACTACGTGGCCTGAGTCCAGTCACTGAAAACAGTGCCTGCTCAACTCCAACTTCTCCACCCTTGCTCAAATATGCTAACCACCAAATGTACACCTTGTGCACATGTGTTAGCATAATTTCACAAACATTTTCAAGGGTGTTAGCACTCACTAGAATCTAAATGCATATGCAATGAGTTAGAACATCTAGTGGCACTTTGATAACTGCATTTCACGACAAGTTTCACCCCTCTTAATAGTATGGCTATCTATCATAAATGTGATCACACTCGCTAAGTGTCTTGATCATCGAAACAAAGAGCTCCTATCAAATATATCTTTACCTTGAGCTTTTTGTTTTTCTCTTTTTTCTTTTCCAAGCCCAAGCATTGATCATCTCTATGGCCATCACCATCATCATGATCATCATCATTTGCTCCACCACTTGGAATGTGCTACCCTATCTTATGATCACCTAGAGCAATGGGTTAGCACTTAGGGTTTCATCAATTCACCAAAACCAAACCAGAGCTTTCACCACCAACTCACTTATGCTTTCGTCGTCGCTTCACTTAAAAGGATTAACCCAGAGGATTGGTGGTAAGGACTCAAAATGCCTCGTCTAACCCACCCTCAACAACAAAGGTGGGAGTACGTATACCCCTCATAATCTCACATCAACACACACACATGGATCATCATGGATGTAATTAAACTTGGTCGGATGTTACATACACCTCCCCTCAAAGGGTCCACTCATCGGTCCAATATACCCACTACCAGAAAACGATGACTAGAAACGTTCCTTCTTGGCACTGTACACGTAACTGTGTGTTCAGTGTTGGCACATGTGCCATGCTATGCGCCACACCAACCATGTCCACGCCCCTGACCCACACGCGACCATGTCGGTGAGAGTCGACTCTAATACCATTTGTAATACCCCATAGTTTAAATGGCTCAAATCCACTCTACATGTTGAGTGAACCACACACTATCACCAATATACTTGTGCTTTCGTCATCGCTTCATGTAAAAGGGTTAACACGGGTTGATGGTGACAGCATTTATGCCCCTAATTTGATTTTGGCTATTAATGACGACACAGTCATTGTGACTATTGTGTTTGGTTCAAGTGATAGAGTCATTCTAATTTTTTGTTTTGGTTGGAAAGATTTAGTGGGATGGAGTGGATGGGAGTTTAACACCGTTATACAGTAATCTATGGGCCCCACATTCCATTATCTATCGCATGCTCTCAGAAATCACGTCGTCGTCCATTGCTGAAAGCCTAGCCTGTCCCGCCAGAGAGCTCGCCCAGCCTCGTCATCGCCATGCCAGTGAGCCCGCACCCAGAGAGCTCCACACCGGGGAGTCTACGCCCAAGGAGCTCCGCACCGGCGAGTTTGTGCCCAGGAGAGCCAGCACCCGTGCCAGGGAGCTCCACACCATGGGAGCTAGATGAGCTAGTCCGGCTATTTCGTGGGGATGAGTTTACTGGCCCAGATTCCATGCAATATTCCAAACTCTACGAGTCTCTCAACCAAACAATTATAAAAACAAGTCCATTTTATCTCGTTCCACGAGGTGGGCATAATTAACCAAAACCGAAAAAATTTCGGTTCCTACTCTCAAATAATTGAATTATAAAGAACCAAAATACATGAAGTGTACTTCACTTAATTGTAATTTATAAGATTATGTTTAGTTTATATGTGACGTCTCATATTGAATTGTGTGTATTTGTGTTGCTATATTGTTTTTGTTCCCTTATATCTAAAATAGAGGTAGCATTGCCTAAATTTGCTTTAAAACTTGTATATTTGTTTTTGTTGTCTTAGCTTTTGCTGAAAAATTGGTTAGTTCAGTTGAAAAAAAAATCAAAAGCCCAAATAATTATTTTCTAATTTTTTTTAAACCAATCGGTTTCTATTTTGTGAGAACCAAATTTCGCCAATAATTAAGAAACCGAACTGAAAGCCTGAACACTCACCCTGCTCCAACCGAACACTACCTATAACCTATGGCTAGTCCACGCAAGAAATCATGGACCCGGATCGGCAGAGTCAACAGCCTCCCTTTCGTTCTCCTTCGTCCCCTGTCGCCACTCTTTTGTGCGCCCGGCGCTTCGCCGTCCGCTCCGCCAGCGTTCGCGACATCGCGTCCTTCGTCTCCACCCATGACCGCCGAAGGCGAGGCGTCAATGCACTACACGACGGACGACGCGCTCTCGCTCCTCGGCTTCGGCCGGTTCCAGACCCTCGTGCTAGCTTACTCCGGCCTTGGCTGGGTCGCGGAGGCGTTCGAGATCATGCTGCTCTCCTTCGTGGGGCCGGCCGTGGAGGCGGATTGGGGGATATCAGGAGCGGAGCAGGGCCTCATCAGCAGCGCCGTCTTCGCAGGGATGCTCATCGGGTCCATCGCCGGAGGCCTCATCGCGGACAGATACGGCAGGAGGTAGCACAAAAATCTGAACATAGTTTCTCAGGCGTACCCTTCTGCAGGATTTATCTTTCCTTCTTTCCTTGTGTATAGTTTTTCGCTTTTCCGCGTTCCAACACAATTCCTTTCGAGCGATTTAAGAAATTTGGTGCAGGCATGATTTTCCATTTTCCGTTGCTGTTAAATTGTACCAATTCATTTCATTCACTGGTTTGAATCCTTCTTTTGGTGAGCGTGGAGATTACTAAACCCAGTAAAGAGAACCTTTTGACTGAACCCTCCCAATGAGTAATTTGGACTTTGGAGCCATTTCGTATATTATAACCTTTTGACTGAACCCACCTGATGAGTAATTTGGAACCATTCAGGCCTTGTTTGGATGTTGTTGGATTCACCTCAATTCACATGTGTTGGAGTGGACTGAGGTGGAATTTAGTTCAAGTTCTACTCCAATCCACCCCAACACATCCGAACAAGGCCTCAATAAATTTCGTGCAGAATTGTACCTTAGGTAGGAAAATTATCACAGAAATGAACATGTCATTTTGGCTCAACTCAACCTAGCTACTTGAACATTAATGTACTTGATAGTTTACATTTACTTGTTATTTGTTTTTCCAAGGACAAGGACGTTGCTACATCTTACAATTCGATGCGTGCTATTTCCAGGACCGGTTTCCTTTTCACTGCAGTAGTCACTGGCATATTTGGTTTGCTTAGCGCCTTCTCGCCCAACTACACATCCTTGCTCACCCTTCGCTTTGTTGTTGGTCTGGGATTGGGTGCTGGCCATGTGCTATCTACTTGGTTCATAGAGTTTGTCCCTGCTGCCAAAAGAGGTACCTGGATGGTGGTTTTCCATGTTTGTTGGACTGTGGGAACAATATTGGAGGCTCTTCTTGCATGGGTATTTTTTTTCCTTTCTACTGCATGTTAATTACCTTATTTTTAGTGAAGTGCATGTTAATTACCTTATGTGCACATCCTTAGAAAAGATGCATCAAAGGTTTAATATTACTCATGTCCTTGCAGGATTTACAGTGGTTAACTTAAATCTTTACCTTGGCATCGTATATTCTTAATGCAGGCTGTCATGCCAGTACTTGGATGGAGGTGGTTGCTTGCATTGTCCTCAGCACCATGCTTTGGCCTTCTCATTTTCTTCCCTCTAACACCTGAATCACCAAGGTATCTTTGCTCGAGAGGTAGAACTATGGATGCTACAGTCATCTTGGAAAGAATAGCAAGGATGAACAAAGGGACTCTCCCTCCTGGCGTACTAACTTACAGACCAGAAAATCATGTTGACAACAACCTTGGGACTCCTGAGACAGCACTTCTAATTGTAGAAGATAATGCTGGCATTGAAGAGGACATAAGTTCCAAGTCCAGTGGCATTGTTGCATTTCAGGCACTTTGGTCATATGATCTGATAAGATCAACCTTTCTTCTGTGGTTCATCTATCTTGCAAATTATTTTACTTATTATGGGGTAATATTGCTAACTTCTGAACTAAGCAATGGTAGGAGGACGTGTGCATCTGTAAGAACACATTTGATGCAACCAAACAGTGGTAATCTTTATAGAGATGTGCTGGTGACCAGTTTGGCAGGTATAATTGCTCTAAGATTTTTTTACTTCACTCTTCTGCTGTTGATTCACCTCATCACCTGAGTGAAGTACATGATTACCAGTCTAGAGGAAGGTACTTATTTGTTTGTTGCTTTTTTTTTGAAGAAAATATTTGTTTGGTACTTAAGATATCTTTTCTTCAGACATGTTTGTGCCCAAGAAAAAAGGTATGGGAGGTTTTGTGGTAGAGACGCGGTGTATGCTTTCATTCCATTATTTCCAAAATAAATTTGTAAAATAATTGATCTCATGTAATAATCTTGTTTTGTTCAAGATTGCTTAAGGCTAAGGACTTCAATTTTTAATAGAAAACTAAATGAAGTGCTTCGATTTTGTGACATAAAAAACCTTGTTTTACTTGATGTCAGAGTTCCCAGGCCTGCTCTTGGCTGCTCTTCTAGTCGACAGGATTGGTCGAAAAAGATCTATGGGAGGCATGCTTTTGATGTGCGGTGCTTTCCTGGCACCTCTTTCTGTACAACTAGGGGAAGGCTTAGTAACTACCCTTCTATTCTGCGCCCGGACTTGTATCATGGGTAGCTTTGCAGTTCTGTATGTTTATACACCTGAGGTCAGTACTCAGTACCAAGTCTATGCAATATGCCACTATATGTTTACTTCTGCTGTTACTTGAGTAAATCCAACCATGGGGAGAAGACATCCCCTGACCTAGTTTTAAGAGAGGGGAGCACCGAACTATATAGAAAGGTACTCACACAACCTACAAGCACCTTGGTTCCAGCCTAGGTGGGCAGCCTCTCAACTTCTCTGCAGTTACATGGAAATAGTCAAATCCTAAATACTATTGAGCATATTATATGATTTAGGACTGGACTATTTATCAGAGAACAAAATCAACATTTTGTCACACCTAACAATTAGTTATATGAACAAGCATACCTCATAAATTACTGGGGTGTATGTGTGTCAAATCAGGGCTTCGGCTGCACCTTAAATTTCAGTACCAAGACAAGATATGAGTAATTCACGTCATCGAAATAGATGTGCTGTGCTGTATAGAATGGCCATTGCAATTTTGAATTGTAACAAGCAAATTTTCATCCCTGTTTGTATCACTACTCTGCAGCTCTACCCTGCATCATCTCGGAACACCGGTGTTGGGATCACTTCTTCCCTTGGTCGGATTGGCAGCATAGTTTCACCTCTCGTTATTGTTGGCTTGTTAGAGAGCTGCCGTCGGAAAGAAGCCGTGTTCGTGCTTGACCTGGTGCTCTTCCTTGCTGGAGTCACATGTGCCCTCTTCCCTCGAGAGACCAAGGGATGCCAAATCCAATGAGAGTTTGGACTCCATAATTCCATATGGATGTATGCTTGCAAATTATAGTACAGCTACCATTGCAGTTTATCATGAGCCCTTTTGTGGCCTAATTTAAGATTTCTGTACAGATACATAGAAAATACAAATCCCTTTTCCATGGATCAATGGGTAGTTTAGTTTTCATATATGCATGTGTTTATCCTTGAAATTTTAAGTAGCACAATCCAAAAGGCTCACCAAAGAGAGGTATAGTACCAAAGGTGTAAATGTGTGGATTTTTGTACTTCCTTCATGTTTTGAATAAATCAATTTCTAGAGTTGTCCAAATCAAACGATTTTAAGTTACAGTCTGATCCCTCGATTGAGAAATATCATACCGATGTGTTTTTGCCTTTTTGGTCAGAGATAGCTTCGTTTTTTTTCCTTTCCCAAAATATCGATGGCGTCTTACTAGTTTCTGGCAACATCATAACCAAGAAAACTAGAAAACAAGTTGCTGATAGAGACCCCAGATATTTATACACACAACTTATGGCAGAAAGCTCGTGTGCTGCGTTATCGCCGTCGCCGATACCTTCTCTGTTTGGCCTTCGCCATCACCTGCGCGCCCGCTCGTCGTCACTGCTCACTAGTCGCTACTCACTACTTCACTCTCGCGCGGCTCCTCCCGCACCGGCAGCGCATCTCCATTCCGGCCGGCATGGCGGGAGGCTGGAGCGGGACCGAGGAGTACACGACGGACGAGGCTCTGTCGCGGCTCGGCTTCGGCCGGTTTCAGGTGCTCCTGCTCGGGTTCCTGGGCACCGGCTTTGTCGCAGAGGCTATGGAGGTCATGCTGCTGTCTTTCGTGGGGCCATCAGTGAAGGAGGAGTGGGGGATCTCCGGCGGGGCAGAGGGCCTCATCATCAGCGTTGTCAACGCCGGGATGCTTCTCGGGGCGTGCGTCGGCGGCCTCGGTTCAGACAGATATGGTAGACGGTATGTTTAGAACTTCAATTCTAAAGAATTCACTTCAATGGTCCAGTAAAATTCTAAAGAGTTCACTTCAGAAATTCTTGTGATAGATGTTTTATGATTGTGATCCATGGACATGTGGTAGAAGAAATAACCAAATATTTATTTATATTGGTCCAGACACCCTGTTGTCGTTGGAACTTGGAACAAAGAATGAACTTGTTACATGTCTGTTAGAGTATGCGGATATCTTCAAATATGGTAGATTAGGATGATGATTCTGGCTTGTCTTATCTCCAAAGGAGGCTTCTTGCCCTAAGCAATGTACTCCCTCCGTCTCAAAAAAACTTATGGTCTGTGATTCAAAAAATGTCCCAAAAAATTTGATGTTCAGGGTATTGGACATTCACTTTCTCTTCATTAGAAAATTTAACCGTGGCATCCCTCTTTTTAAGGAAATCTCAAGTAACAAAATAGGGGTATTAGAGTCATTTGTCTCCTCCACTAATTTGTCTGAGAAATCCTAGAACATCAAGTTTTTTGGGACGGAGGGATTAGTTTATATAATCCGCACACGAGGCTCAGCAATACAATCAACAATCCTATCAATCTATTCTATCCCTCCTACAATGTCTACAAAAACCTAGCACGCTTATGTTTTTGGTATTTTGAAGTTGGTAACTACTTCTCCATCCTTATTTTGACCTTTTTCACATGATGATACCAGGCTCTCATGTCTTCTCTGTATTTTCCATTTGCAGGCCGGTTTTTTGTTCACTGCAATTGTCAGTGGTATACCTGGCTTCCTCTGCGCCTTCTCGCCAAACTATGCAACCTTACTGGTTTTGCGATTTGTTGTGGGCTTTGGCCTAGGTGGCAACCATGTGCTCCCTACTTGGTTCCTGGAGTTTGTTCCGGCTGAACACAGAGGTTCCTGGATAGCTGCTTTTACTTGTTTTTGGACCCTTGGAACAATATTGGAGGTTCTGCTTGCTTGGGTATTTTTTCCCTCCATCACTCTTAAACCTAAGTTATTACTCCCTCCGTTCCAAATTGTAAATTGTTCTGGCTTTTCTAGGTAAATAGCTTTTGATATGCACCTAGATATGCCTGACATTTGTTTTTTTTTTCATGTGATGTACACCAGGAGTGTATAATATGCAGAATGCCTCAGTTACATTACATGAATAGGCATATACATATACTCGGAACAACAGTTCAACTTTTGTAAGTTTTGGATCAGTTTACTAAAAATCCTGATTACCAATATTTGAAAAATCACTAGATCAGTCCATTGATTAATTTGATTGCTTCAAAACTCCTTTCATCAGCAACTTAATATTTTTTATATAAAGGAAGTATAACTTCCGTCCTCTGCATGAACTTTTAATGCATAAAGCCATTAAGCTCACAAACATCTACATAAGTGGTAAAGTGGACACCAGGAACCTGGGATTTCTTTTTGTTTAAAGGACGGCAAAACCTTTGCCAACAAAGTTATTAGAAGAAGAAAAATAAAGATAAGTGTCGGTCCAGTTTTTTGAGTGAAATTGGGCCCAAAATCCACAACACAACCCGAGGAACCTGGGATTTCTAGCAGGCCGAAACAGTTGAAGGAGAGCATTGTCAACTCTAGCTCCAGCATATGAAGTAGGCAGTAATTTTAAAAGATGAACTTCGTTTTTGGAAAATCGAACATTTAAACTGTAAATAATATTATTAGGGGAACCGTTCCCTAATTCTGTTTTATCAGAGCAACAGCTTCTTGTTCTGGCAGGTTCTACTGGTTAGTGCCTCATGTGACATGTGCATAATTTGTCCTCAATGCAGGCTATCATGCCAATACTTGGATGGAGGTGGTTGCTTGCGTTGTCCTCCTTGCCATGTTTCATCCTTCTTATCTTCTCTGATGTAATACCTGAATCACCAAGGTACCTTTGCTCAAGAGGTAAGATAAGTGAAGCTATGCTTGTCTTGGAGAGAATAGCAAGAATGAAAAACAAGGCTCTGCCTCCTGGCACTGTAACCTCTGAACCAACAAGAGGAGTCGACAACAACCATGATTCTCCTGTTACAAGGCTTTTACCTATGCCAGAAGATAGTCTCATAAGTGGTGAGGACACAAGCTCCAAGTCCAATCTCCTCAGTGTATTTCGAGCTCTTTGGTCAGGTGACCTGATAAGATCAACACTTCTTCTCTGGCTAGTCCATTTTACAAATTATCTTGTCTATTATGGACTAGTATATCTGATCTCTGAACTAAGCAGTCATAGGAGTCAATAAAAGGATCCCGACGTTTACATAAATGTGTTGGTGACCAGTTTAGCAGGTAATTTGGCTTATGCTGATTTGTTGTGAGAGGAAAACACTGTGCGTTCGCTGAAAAATACTGCTGAAGTAGTTCAAGCGAACAGGGCCTTGTGCTGTGAACAAATTTGATATATGCATGATGAATGCTTCCTGCGGATTTTCAGTTTCTGCTGCTGGTTGACAAAACCTGGACGAAACTCCTGATTTGCATGTTGCACGATAATATACTTCTCTTATTTTCTTAGAAAATGCTTAAGTATATATTATTTAAAAATAAATATCAATGATGATTACAGGGGGGGAAAAGACATGTGTGTAGACCCTTACTGTTCTTGCCTCTCATTGGGAATTCATATCCACCGTTCTTGGAGCATGGTTATTGACAAAATCAGAAACTTGTGTTGTTTTTTTAGCAAGTAGCTGATAAAGCAAAACAAAATGTAGATTATTAGTAACTTTAAACATTGTTTTAGAGATAGTGTTTCCTGTTTTCCAATGGTCTTAGCAGGTCTCTGATTCTGAAGAAAGCCTTTGTTTTGCAACCTTCCAAAGAAAAAAAGGGTTTACAACTATTAATCGTATGCTGATGTAAATAGAAGATTGTAAGAGGACTATTATGTAAAAATGAGAAGAAATGAATAGAGGAGGGTGTGCTGAGGGCACACCTGTGAGTGAGTCTTCCCCCAAATTCCAATATGGTATCGGAGCCAGGGTTAGGGTTACCCGAGTAGCGGCGGTGCCCCGAGCTGTGGCGGCGCAAGCGGGTGAGCACCGGCACACGGCCGGCGGTGGCACGGCAAGGGCTGCGCGCGAGTGCGAGCTGCGGGCGTCGCGTGCGGTGGAGAGCGGCGGAGGCACGCGAGTAGGCAGAGGCGGTGGCCGTGCGTGCGGGCGAAGGCACGAGTCCGTGCTTCCACGCGTACTGGTGGGCGCGCTGGCAAGGCCACGACTCACCTGCGCGGGCCAGGTCCGGGTGGCGAGCGTGGGCCCCGTGGGCTGACGGCGTAGGGAGAAGCCGCGTGGAGGAGAGGAGACTGGGCGACGAGCAGGAGGAGGCAGGTGTGGTGCGTGCTGAGGAGCTTGTGGAGCCTTGGGGCTGCGGGAAGAGAGGTGGAAGAAGTGTATAGGGGTATGCTCTGCTGTTGCAGTGGTGTGAGTACGAGGAGGTGCTATTTCTCCCTCTGTCCGGTCTGCTCTATTGTAGAGAAGAAAGTGAAATATGCGCCTGTTATGTTGGTGATTGGTGTTGATTTGCTGCAACGTGGTGATTTGGTGGTGGAAGAAGCTTGCAGTGATTAGGTGGAAGAAGGTGTGGTGATTTGCTGCGGTGCGGTGATTTGGTGGAAGAGGCAGGCCGTCTTGAGATGGATACGAAGACGTTAGAGGCACAAAGGAAAACAGAAGAGGCGGAGAAGGCTTCAACTCAGAGCGGTGGCAAGAGTAGAGGTGATCCACCAATTACCAAGAGTGAGATGAAAAATGAGATGAGGTCTATGATTCAGGAGCTCTTGGAGATGGGTATGATTGACCCCAGGGTGGCGCCTGAACTGTAGCTGGAACTCATACCAAATGATGTGAAGTTAGAGGGAAGTAAGAATTATCTGAGTTGGTCTAGAAGAGTGCAAGTGCTCCTAGGAGGAAAAGGGGTAGAGCACTATCTGGCGGAGGATTGTGTTGAGCCAGCTAACAAGTTTAGCCCTGAGTGGAGAGTTTGGCATACAATAAACTCTACCATAGTGGCGTGGTTATTGGCATCCATGTCACCGTCTGTTAGTAAAATGGTGGAAGCCATGCACACTGCAGCACAGATATGGAAAACCCTAAGTAACATGTATTCCAGGCGAGGGAATGTGATGGTGATGATGGAAATTCAGAACAAGGCTGATGCAGTGAAACAAGCAGGGCGACTAGTGGAGCAATATGCTAGTGAGTTGCAATACTTGTGGGGAGAGTTGGACCACTATGCTCCACTTCATTTGAGAGATCCACAGGATGCCCAAGATGTTTAGAAGTGGGTAGAGGACAGGAGGGTGGCTCATTTCTTGAGGAACTTGGATCCTAAGTTTAAGAGCAGGAGGGCTGCCTTCTACCATTAGGATAGTCTACCTACCATGGAGGAGGCTGTGTCAGCCATGGTCATTGAGGAGAGCAGACTGCGGATGATGAGTAGTAACAATCCTGTAAAGTCGGCCTACACCACAGTGGTGGAGAGGAAGTGCTACAACTATGGAGAGGAGGGACACTTGAGCTACAATTGTCCTCTTCCTAAAACCTATGGTGGTAGGAGTGGAACTCATGGAGGTCGTGGTGGTGCTCGTGGTGATCAAGGAGGAGGCCGTGGTGGTCATGGAGGAGGACGTGCAGGGGGACGTGGCAGAGGCCGTGGTGGTCCTCAAGCCAATGCTGCTACCATGGAGAGTGGTCCTCAAGTCAATGTTGTTGTCGTAGAGGAGGTTCCATCTCTCACCTTAACTGAGGAGCAGGTCAAGCAATGGGAACAATGGCAGAGGATGAAAGCATCTAAAATCTCCAAAACTACTCTAGTTGGTCCTGTGATTGCCACCACCAATCACTTTGGTAACTTTGCCAACTATGCCCACTTGGGCAAAGGTACTCAGGCACATGCACTTGCATCCACATGTAGGCATAACATAGAATGGGTCATTGATTCATGAGCTTCCAAGCATGTCACAGGCACATCTAGTTCTTTTAAAACATACACTCCACATTCCTACTTTGAGACTATTCAAACCACTGATGGCACCTCTCAACCCATTCATGGTGTAGGATCTATAGAGTGTACCTCATCCCTTTGCTTATCATCAGTTTTGCATGTTCCTTTCCTAGTCAATCTCCTCTCAGTTAGTTCACTTATTGATTAGTTCAAATGCATTGTTACATTTGATGAAAAATTTTGTATCTTTCAGGAGAAGAGGGCGGGAAGAGTGATTGGGACTGGAGTCAGGTGTAATGGGCTGTGGTTCATCAACCAAGCAGAGTCAGCATTGGTAGCAGCTGTTGGAGCACATGAAAAGGAGGTCTTCTTGCTTCATTGCCGGTTAGGACATGTGCCTTTTGAAAGTTTGAATAAATTGTATCCTAATGTGTTTAAGGATGTGGATAAAACCAAACTTGTGTGTGATGCCTGTGAACTTGGGAAGCATACAAGATCAACTTATCCTAGTATTGGTCTTCGTAGTTGTGAACCTTTTATGTTAATACACTTCGATGTTTGGGGTCCCTGCTCAGTTACATCTTTGAGTGGATTTAAGTGGTTTGTCACCTTTATTGACTGCTATACCCGTATGACATGGATTTACATGCTTAGGGGTAAGCATGAAGTTCTTCGATGTTTCCAAGATTTTCATAAGCTGGTTGCAAATCAATTTAATGCCAAGATTCGAATTATCCGCACTAATAGTGGGAAGGAATATGTGAACAATGACTTTGTGGCATATCTTTCCAATCATGGAATTATACACCAAACTACCTGTCCTAATACCCCACCACAGAATGGTGTAGCCGAGAGGAAGAATCGATACTTGTTGGAGGTAGCAAGGTCATTGATGTTTCAAATGAATGTGCCTAAATATCTTTGGAGTGAGGCAGTGCTGACAGCAGCATATTTAATCAACCGTATGTCGTCCAGGATTCTTGGTATGAAGTCACTTGCTGAGCTTTTATTGGGACAACGAGAGTTTACAGTACCCCCAAGGTATTTGGTTGTGTTTGCTTTGTTAGGGACCATCGACCTTCAGTAGGAAAATTGGATCCTCAGGCGGTGAAATGTGTCTTTGTTAGATATTCTTCTACACAAAGGGATACAAGTGTTGGGACCCTGTTGGAAAGAAATTATTTGTGAGTATGGATGTGACGTTTCGTGAGTTTGACCCATGCTATACAAAACCATGGGATCTTGATCCGTTCTTGGAGGAATTCTCTTTAGTCACCGAGAGTGACAGTAGAGAGGTGGAGAATGGTTGTGTGCAGAATGAAGGGGGGCTCAAGAAGAGGTGATTGTTGGGACTATCCCTTGCCCAACTATCCCTTGTCCAATGGATGTGCCTGCGGCTTAGGAGGTGGTGGATCATGATACTATTATGGATATGAGGAGTGATGCCGATGGGAATGCAGAGGTGATTGTTGATAAGAATGAGGAGGCTATTTTTGAAGGGAGTGAAGAGGTGATTGATGGGACAATCCCGTGTTCTACAAATGAAATGGGGGCAAAAAATTGGGGAAACAATTGCCAAAGAGCCAATAGTGTATCAAAGGAGGTAGTTTAGAAGTCAGGGGGAGCAAGTCAGTGCACCACAGCCACAACAACCTATTTCGCCAGTCCCAAACCTCTCCTCGAATCTCTCTCCATCGAGCTCCTCGCCCTAATCTGGGATAAGTGGTAATGTTTTTCCTACCTCTAAACATATAGAGTTACCTCTTTCACAACGTAGAGATACTAGACCCAATTTTGGAAAACCTCCTGTTCGTTATGGCTTTGAGCATCCTAGTACTAATCATGACATTGCCAATTTCTTCTCATATTCTCGTCTTTCACCTGCATATAGAGCATTTGTTGCATCTTTACAAACGGTGCCTATTCCAAGGGACTGGAAGTGTGCAAAACAGGACCCTAGGTGGAATGCAGCAATGAAACAAGAGATGTATGCTCTTCAGAAAAAACAAGACATGGGAACTGGTTTGACTTTTAAAAGGGAAGAAGGCAGTGGGCTGTAAGTGGGTCTTCACTGTGAAGCAGAACCCAAAAGGAGAGGTGGATAGATACAAAGCAAGATTGGTTGCAAAAGGGTATAGTCAAACATATGGGATTGATTATGATGAGACCTTTGCTCCTATAGTGAAAATGGGTACTGTTAGGACCTTGATCTCTTGTGCAATTAATTTTGGTTGGCCTCTTCATCAAATGGATGTAAAGAATGCATTTCTTCATGGTGACCTACAGGAGGAGGTCTATATGGAAATCCCACTGGGGTTTACAAATAGTCAGACTATGGGGAAGGTGTGCAGACTTAAGAAGTCACTCTATGGACTAAGGCAGTCACCCCGGGTGTGGTTTGATAGGTTTAGAAGAGCAGTTTGTGATATGGGATACACTCAATGCAATGGTGATCATACAGTCTTCTATAAGCATAGAGGGACATTTATCACCATTATGGCAGTATATTTGGATGACATAGTGATTATTGGAGATGATGTGGAGGAAATCAAATGTTTGAAAGAGAATCTAGGAAGAGCCTTTGAGGTAAAAGATCTAGGACCACTTCGGTATTTCCTTGGGATTGAGATTGCTAGGTTGCCTGAGGGAATGTTCTCTCTCAAAGGAAATATGTCCTTGATCTATTAGCGGAAACTAGAATGCTTGGATGTCGGCCATGTAGTACTCCTATTGACAAAAATCATCAAATCAGTGCCTAGTCCAGAGATTCTATTAATAGAGAAACATATCAAAGATTGGTCGGGAGATTGATATATCTGTGTCATACAAGGCCTGATATTTCCTATGCAGTGAGTGTGGTAAGTAGGTATATGCATGATCCTAGAACAAGGCATATGGAGGTGGTTTACAGAATTTTGAGGTACCTGAAGGGAACCCCTGGGAGAGGGTTATGGTTCAGGAAGAATAGGCACCTAGATTTGGAGGGATACTATGATGCGGATTGGGCAAGTAGCAGGGGCGATAGGAGGTCTACCTCCGGTTATTGTGTGTTTGTGGGAGGCAATCTTGTCTCATGGCGAAGCAAGAAGCAAGTGGTTGTGGCTCGGTCTACGGCAGAGGCCGAATATAGGGCAATGGCATTGAGCCTGTGTGAGATGTTGTGGTTAAAAGGCTTGTTGAAAGAGCTGCGGCTATTGAAAAATGAGACCATGATGCTTCATTGTGACAATGTTGTTGTAATTAATATTGCAAACAATCTAGTCCAATTGGACCGCACTAAGCATGTGGAGATTGATAGATTCTTCATCAAGGAGAAGCTAGACAATGGGGTCCTAAGGCTAAAGTATGTAAAATCACATAGTCAAATAGTGCATTGTTTCACAAAGAGTCTAGGACCTAGTGAGAATGAGCTGAGTTGTAACAAGATGGGAATGTGAGATATCTTTAGCCCATCTTGAGGGGGTGTTGATGTAAATAGAAGATTGTAAGAGGACTATTATGTAAAAGTGAGAAGAAATGAATAGAGGAGAGTGTGCTGAGGGCACACCTATGAGTGAGTCTTCCCCCAAATTCCAATATAAATTGTTGTTCTTGTGTCTATTTTCCACAACAACATTGAGGTACTCCCTAATAGCTAAAGCCACGCTTTATTTATGGCAGAGATTCCTGGTCTTCTTTTAGTGGCTCTATTGATTGACTGGATAGGTCAGAGAATGACATTGGGAGGCATGAGTTTGTTGTGCTGTGCTTTTATTACACCTCTTGCCACACAATTGGGAGAAGGTTTAGCAATCACCCTTCTCTTCTATGCTCAGGCTTGTGTCATGGGGCATTTGCCGTTGTACATGTTTTTCCCCTAAGGTCAGTGCCAAGCATCACTGGATACGCTGCATATTATATTTTCTACTCCATTTTTAAACATGTGACTTTGAGGACATGATCTAAACATCACTGGATAAGTTGCATATTATATTGTTCTAAGCATCAAATGTTTAAAAATAGATGGAGTATTTTGGTATTTCTTTCCATTTGGTATATTCCCCAAAGTACATGATCTGTTTATCACTGCAAAAAGCAGCAGTTTTATTATGCCTCATTAAGCCCGTGGTGATTTCTCTTGTGCCTAAAACATGCTACATGAATAATGAAGCAGATTTTAACAGAAATCGTGTTAGATGAAACATTATTGTAGGCAGATATCATGAAATAAGCAATATAACTAACTATACAATAGGTAAACTGATCCCATTTATTATCAACTTTTTTGTGTAGATCTACCCTACATCTTGTCGAAACACTGGAGTTGGGTTCGCATCTTTCTTTGGCCGAATTGGAAGTATCATTGCTCCTATCATGATAACTGCATTGCTAGAGAACCACCGTCAGAAAGAAGCAGTGCTTTTGATGGACCTATTGCTCTTTCTTGCAGGACTGGCATGTACCCTCTTTCCTCATGAGACCAAGGGCCACGAAATTCATTGATATTCAGACTGGGCATGAAAACATGATGCATATATCATCTCATCATTGGAAGCACTGCAGTAGTCATTGAAATAGACGTGTTGTATAGAATGGACATTGCAATTATGAAATCGTATGTAAATTGTTGTTCTTGTGTCTATTTTCCACAACAACATTGAGGTACTCCCTAATAGCTAAAGCCACGCTTCATTTATGGCAAAGATTCCTGGTCTTCTTTCGGTTTCTCTATTGATTGACTAGATAGGTCGGAGAATGACATTGGGAGGCATGAGTTTGTTGTGCTGCACTTTTATTGCACCTCTTGCCACACAATTGGGAGAAGTTTTAGCAATCACCCTTATCTTCTATGCTCGGGCTTGTGTCATGGGGACCTTTGCCATTCTACATGTTTTTTTTCCACTGAGGTCAGTGCCAAACATCACTAGATACGCTGCATATTATTATTTTCTACTCCCTTCGTTTTTAAACATGTGACTTTGAGGACATGATCTAAACATGTCTGGATACGATGCATATTATATTGTTCTAAGCATCACATGTTTAAAAACAGATGGAGTATTTTTGGTATTTCTTTCCATTTGGTATATTCCCCAAAGTACATGATCTGTTTATCACTGCAAAAAGAACCAATTTTATTATGCCGCGTCAAGCTAGTGGTGATTTCTCTTGTGCCTGAAAGATGCTACATGAATAGTGAGGCATATTTAAATAGAAACTCATGTTAGATGAGCATCAGCCTATTTGAAACATTATTGTAGGCAGATGCATATTGTTAGATGTATAGATGTACTTTGTATTTTCCCTCTACTTGGAGGGGTTCTTTGCATATGTACACACATGTATACTTGCCTCTTTGGGCCTGGAATAGAATCATTTTTCTAATTCTAAAATGGTATCGAGCTAGGGTTCTAGGTTTCACATCAGCCACCAGCCGTCCCACGCCACCTCACGACCTCTGCGCCGCCTCGCGCGGCCCGGCCGAGCCACCTCGCGCTCGCTTCGCGTGGCCGTCCGTGACCTGAGCTGCCTCGCGCCTGCCCCGAGGCTGCCTCGCCCGTGCCTTACGCGCAGCCACCCACGCACACCCTCGTGAGGCCACTGCTCCTTCCTGCTCTCTCAGCTGCTCGCTCTCTCTCCTCTACTCTCTCGGCTGCTTGCTCTCTCTCCTCTGTTTCGCCCGACCACCTCCCAGCTCCCCCTCATCTATTTCCTTCTTCTTTTTATTAACTTCCATAGAATCCTTCCAACCAAAAAAAATAGCCAGCTCTCTTCTTTCATGGCATCCCCCGGGCACCCCGGTGCTATTCCTGTCCCTCGGTGCCCTATCATTTTCAATGGCACAAATTAGGGCGACTTTGTTTTCCATTTGGAGGTCCACATGGATGGGCAGCTATTGTGGGGCTACCTCACTGGTGAGCAGATCTGTCCTCCCTGTCCTGTTCTCCCCACGCCGCCCACATACCCGCCAGATGCTGATGATCACACCAAGACTGCTTTACTTGAGGCATTTGAGGCTCAAAGGGAGAGCTACCAGTATGATCTTGAGGTCTATGAGACTTGGCTGCATGAGGAGAAATCTGCTAAGGCTATCTTACTTGCGAGCATGGAGGTTGATCTCGCATGGTTCCTTAGAGGTCTTGCCGCTTCACACCTTATGTGGGATCACCTCTGTCACAGTTACGAGATCCATAATGAAGCGATGTATCTTGCTATTGTTGAGGAGGCTCAGTCACTTCATCAGCTTGATTCTATAGTTGAGGACTTCCACCATTAGATGACAGATGTCTGGCATCATCTAGACGGTTTGGGTGCTGAGTTCTGCGATGGTGGTACTTGTCAGTGTTGTGCCCGCCATCGGGACCAGAGAGACACACTTCGCCTTCACGAGTTCCTCTCTTGGCTGCATCTGGAGTTTGAGACTGTTCAGGCGTAGTTGCTGACTCATCGTCCTCGCCCATCGTTGTCAGAGGCGATGCCTAAGCTACGAGCCGAGGAGACTCATCTTCGAGCTGGGGGTGTGAGTCATGCTCCGCCGTAGCCCTCCGTCCTGGTAGCCCCACCTTCACCGGTCTCCCCGCCTCTGTCCCAGTCTCCAGTGGTGGCGGGGGTCCCTTCTAGGGTACAGTGTGGCTACTGCAAGATCTACGGCCATGAGGAAAAGGATTGTCGCAAGAAGCAGCATGATCGATAGGGGCATCGTGGTAGTGGCAGACGCTACTCTCAGGGGCCCTCTCAGGGCTCTGGTGGTTCCTCTACTTCACAGGGAACTTGTTCTGTGCCTACCGTGGAACAGGAGGTTCTTGCCCTATTTCGTTGCCTCACTACTGCAGCTCAGGCCTCCGCTCACGGGACTACAGCTCAGGCTTCTAGTTCCTCCCCTCCTCCTCCATCAAGTATGTCATCCCCATGGTTTCTCGACTCTGGTGCATCTTTTCATATGACACCCCATGCGACACAACTATCCTCTCTGTCTTCTTTCTGATCCACCTATTTTTGTTCGCACCGCAGATGGCACTTCCCTTCCTGTTGCTAGGAGAGGTGTTTTTTTGACTTCTTTTGATGTTCCTACTGTTTATCATGTTCCCCAACTCATCATGTAACTTCTATCTGTGTGTCAAATCATTGATCATGGTTGTCGCATAATCCTTAAGTCTAATTCTTGTTGTGTTTAGGATCTCCGTGCGGGCCTTTTGGTGGGAACTGGGCCTAGGCGTCGAGACTCACAACGCCTATGGGAGCTTAATTGGTTGCGTCTTCCTTCACCTACTTTGACTCCCCCATCACCCGGTTCTCCAGCATCTGCATCGGCTGCTTCGTCTACCGCTTCTTTTGTGCAGTGGCATCGTCGTCTTGGCCACCTCTCTGGTTCTAGATTGTCTAGTCTTGTTGGTAGTGGTGTGTTAAGCTCTATTTCTGGTGACACTGCTCTTAATTGTTTGGGTTGTAAACTTGGCAAACAGTTGCAACTCCCCTATCCATCTAGTGAGTCTACGTCCCAGAGACCTTTTGATCTTGTTCATTCTGATGTATGGGGTCCTACACCTTTAGTTTCCAAAGGAGGGCAGTCATATTATGTTCTTTTCATTGATGACTATTCGAGATTTACCTTGATTTATTTGATGTCCTCTCGAGATCAATTTCTTTCTATTTACCAGCAATTTGCTAGCATGATCCGTACCTAGTATAACTCTCCCATTCGAGTTTTTCATGCGGATTCTACTGGTGAGTAGATCTCCACTGCTCATCGCTCCTACCTTGCTGAGCAAGGTACTCTTGCCCAATTTTCATGTCTTGGTGCTCATGCTCATAATGGTGTTGCCGAGCGTAAGCATCACCACATTCTTGAGACTGCTCGTGCTCTCTTGATCTCTTCTACACTTGCTCCTCATTTTTAGGCTGAGATAGTTTCTATGGTTGTTTTCCTCATAAATCGCCAACCCTCTACTTCTCTTCAAGGCTGCACTCCCTATGAGTGTCTTTTCGGCACCCCTCCTTCCTATAGCCATCTTCGTTGCTTTGGGTGTGTCTGTTACATCCTACTTCCACCTCGTGAGCGCACCAAACTCACTGCTCAGTCTGTTGAGTGTGTTTTCCTTGGGTACAGTACATAACACAAGGGCTATCGTTGCTTTGACCCTGTTGCTCGGCGGATGAGGATTTCTCAAGATGTCACCTTTGATGAGTCCCGACCTTACTATCCTCATTCCCCTTCCGGTCATCCTGGTACTGCTGAGTCCCTCTCGTTTCTCACTTTACCTAAGTGGTATCTTCCGCTGTCATCTCCACCTCCACCACCTCCTCCTACCTCTGCCACCTCCTACTACCTCTCCACCTCTGCCACATCCTCCTACTTCTCCACCTTCACCACCTCCTCCTACCTCTCCACCACCAGTCTCTCCACCATCGCTGTTGCGTTCTTCCTATGAGATCACCCACTATTACACTTGTCGTCCATGCCCTACACCGCCACTTGACACTTCCCCATCCATCATTGGCCCTCATCCTAAGTCTCCTCCTCTCTATGCTCTTCGTGACTACAGTACCCTTCATCCTCCTGATTGCCTTGGCTTCACTGCTACTATTTTGGCTGAGCCTGTGACCTATCGGGAAGCTGCTGCTCACCAGGAGTGGTAGCATGCTATGGCTGAGACGATTGCTGCCCTTGAGCATACTAGCACTTGGGATCTTGTTCCTTTACCTCTTCATGTCACTCCTATCACTTGCAAGTGGGTGTACAAGGTAAAGACCCACTCGAATGGCTCTCTTGAGCGCTACAAGGCTCATCTTGTGGCGTGCGGCTTCCAACAGGAGCAAGGTCGTGACTATGAGGAGACCTTCGCTCCTATCGCTCACATGACTAATGTTTGGACTCTACTTGTAGTTGCTTCTGTTCGTTAGTGGTTGATTTCTCAGTTGGATGTCAAGAACGCCTTCCTCAATGGCGAGCTTCATGAGGAAGTCTATATGCAACCACCTCCAAGGTACTCCATTCTGGACGAGATGGTTTGTCGGTTGCGTCATTCCCTCTATGGTCTTAAGCAAGCTCCTTGTGCTTGGTTCGAGCATTTCTCCTCTATTGTCATCGATGCTGGCTTTAGGTCTAGTGACTATGATCCTACTTTTTTTGTTCACACTTCTCCTCGTGGTCGCACACTCCTCTATGTCAATGACATGATCATCACGGGTGACGACTCTCAGTACATTGCCTTTGTGAAGCAGCGTCTCAGTGAGACATTCCTCATGTCTGATTTAGGTCCTCTTCGTTACTTCCTTGGTCTTGAGGTCACCTCCACATCTGATGGTATTTTTCTCTCTTAGGAGAAGTACACTCAGGACCTCCTTTCTCATGCTGCTCTCACTGATCACCGCATTGTTGACACTCCTATGGAGCTTAATGTTCACCTTCGACCCACTAATGGTGCACCACTTGCTAATCCCACTCGCTATCATCAACTTGTTGGGAGTCTTGTCTATCTTGGGATCACCCGTCCTGATATTACTCACTCTATTCATATCTTGAGCCAGTTTGTCTCGGCTCCTACCTAGCTCCACTATGCTCACCTACTTCATGTTCTATGATACCTTCATGGAACCATCTCTCGCCGCCTTTTCTTCCCTCGCTCTAGTTCTCTCCAGCTTCAGGCGTACTCTGACGCTACCTAGGCAAGTGATCCCACTAATCGCTACTCTCTCTCAGCTTATTGTGTTTTCCTTGGCTCCTCCTTAATTGCCTAGAAAACTAAGAAGCAGACTATAGTTTCCCACTCGAGTGTTGAGGCTGAGCTGCATGCTATGGCGACTGTGACTGCAAAGGTGACATGGCTACGATGACTTCTTGAGGATTTTGGTGTGCCTACCACTGCACCCACTCCTCTCTCTACTGACAGCATCGATGCGATCAGTATTGCTTGGGACTCGGTCAAGCATGAGCTCACCAAACACATTGCCATTGATGCTTCCTACATGAGATCATAGGTGTGTGATCAGGTTGTGTCCCTCCACCATGTGCCTTCAGAGGTTTAGCTAGCCGATTTCTTCGCCAAGGCACAGACACAGGCCCATCATAGATTCTTGCTCTCCAAACTCAGTGTTGTAGATCCACCATGAGTTTGAGGGGGGTGTTAGATGTATAGATGTACTTTGTATTTTTCCCTCTACTTGGAGGGGTTCTTTGCATAAGTACACACATGTATACTTGCCCATTTGGGCCTGGAATATAATTAGTTTTCCAATTCTAACACATATATCACAAAAATAGGCAATATAGCTAACTATACATTACAATAGGTAAATTCTCATCCCATTTATTATCAACTTTTTTATGCATATCTACCCTACATCTTGTCGGAACACTGGAGTTGGGTTCTCATATTTCTTTGGCCAAATTGGAAGTATCGTTGCTCCTGTCATGATAACTGCATTGCTAGAGAACCACCGTAAGAAAGAAGCAGTGCTTTTGATGGACCTATTGCTCTTTCTTGCGGGACTGGCATGTACCCTCTTTCCTTATGAGACCAAGGGTCGTGAAATTCATTGATATTCAGACTGGACATGAAAACATGATGCCTATAATACGTTCAAAAAAACATGACGCATATAACATCTCATCATTGGAAGCACTGCAGTGTCATACCATCAAATTTATCAAGCATGTTTAGCCCCCGATTAGATACGGAGCTACTGCCTGTATAGACAATTGTGAATGAAATAGACAAATCAAAATTCTTCCTTTTAGTTGCTCCTTTAGCTCTCTTGCCTTATGCCACTGGCTCATGTTCAAATATGTGAATATATGTCCTCAAGGTGTATTCTGATAATACAGAGGCCAGGAATGTTTCAAGGTCTTTGTATTATCTCGATATAATGATCTTAGAATTAAGCTTCCCTTATAAGAAAAAATGTTCTCGAGATGCACTTTCATATGTAGGCTAGTTATATGGCACCAGAATATGTAGGAGTACTGCACTTAGGGCCTATTTATTTTTAGGACTAAAACTTGCCTGGCTCAAACAAGGATTTCTCAGATGTTGGTTTTTGGTGGTCTAAGGTCCAAATCCTTACTTGGCTACAAAGCTGCCTGGCAGGCAGCAAGCAAATAGGTCCTTTCCAACCAAATAAGTGCAGGGCTGTAAGATAGAGAAAACAATAATTTTATAGGGATGCTTTTCAGATAAATTCATGTTTTTTATATAATGACTTTCATTAAACTTAACAGAACCTCTAAAATAGGACAGCTGAGGATGTGGTTCACTTTTGTGCAAGTACAGGATGCAT